GAAGGTCTTACGGGTTTCGAACAACACAAGGGTGAGTAATTAATGACAGAATTTTCATTTTTGGGTGAACTAACCCTTTAAATTAGACATAACAGACTGGGTTAATTAAAAATATATTGAATAAATAATACAGTGCATACATTTATCCTTTCTGCAAGCTATGGACACTGAATGGCTTTCCTGTGGTAACTGCAACATTACATTACATTGTTTACTAGCTATTTTATTGACGTCTTTCTGCCATTAAAATATTGATTGATTTATTACATATGACACAATTTCATTAAGTTGTACTGTTTCTTTCAACAAACCTTGAGATGTGTATTTATATTTTGTGCTATAACTAGAAGTAAAGAGGAAGAGATCATCAGTTCTCGTTAGCTCCGTATTTGTTTGAATTTCATCATTAAAAATTTGAAAGCTAAGACTTTGTTTCAAATCAAAAGCAACAAAGCAAAAAGCGATTTATTGGAAGTCAGTCATGCAACAAGTAATGTTTAAAGTTTTGTTCACACAGACTAAAAGACCTCGGTTAAAAAATTTGAAAGCTAAGACTTTGTTTCAAATCAAAAGCAACAAAGCAAAAAGCGATTATTGGAAGTCAGTCATGCAACAAGTAATGTTTAAAGTTTTGTTCACACAGACTAAAAGACCTCGGTTCATCAAAATGAAGATCAATTAAAAATAAGAAATTGATATTATCAACAGGACATGTCCCAAGCAAGTAAAGAAAATAAAATTAAAATAATACAAAAATATTGAAAATACTGAAACCACAAAATAAATGTCAGATGATTATTTAAACATAATATATATAAACAATTTATATTTTAAGTAATGATGGATAAATTATTATTTAAATTAAATTAAAATGAAATTACTGTAATAAATTAAATGGATAAAATGACTATGTTTTCGAAGTGTTATATGAAACTTTGTGAAGAACTGTTTGAAATGCTGCAAGTAGGGCAGGTTTTGGCATGGGTTTGTGCTTATTCTTAATGGTTTGGAGGCAGGGGGAGACGGTGTTATTGTATTTGCTCTTAAAGCTATTCAGTTTGACCTTTAAGGTTTGTGTGACATCTCTTTCTTCCGGCTGGCTCATCGAGGGGTTTAGTGAGGCCCGGGCAGGTGGAGTTGGCAGGGATTGTGTTCCTGGCAGCGCTCCATCGTCAGACTTAGTGCTGAGTCAATAGCCACCAATAATGTATCTGTTCAGTGAATAATAGTCTGCCAAAATCTGATGTTATAACCTTGATCAAACAGACAGGGATGTGCTGATGTGTCCACTTGTGCAGCTGCTACCAAGAGTAATTAATTGAATTAATTTGCCCAGCAAATGAAGCCATTCTGTACGTCGTTTGCGAGTCAAAAGCCGTTTCGGCTGCGATGACGCCCCATTATGCCCCAGCTCGTCTTCGGTTTCGTGCCTCGGGACGAGCTACCTTTTGTCCGGCTACAAGCTCTGCTCTTTGGAGCCCAACTCAAGTGGCTTTTCATGGGAGCTCTTTTGCAGGGCCACTGCCAATTGCAGCCCCGGTCACAGATGGGAATGAAGATGTGAGTTTTTTTATGAGTGACCTCACTTCTGCAAAACAAGACGAACATGCCTTGATCTCGTGTGTGTGTGTTTCTTCTTTTTCTCCCTCCCTACTCGGGGTAAAACCAAGTTCTTAAAAGAGTTCTGTTAAGTACTTCCCCACCCTTTGAAGGGCAGCCGACTGAACGGACTTTGTGTGGAATTACTCATCTTAGAAAGCAGTCTGCAGGCACTCTATCGGTTGAAGAAAGCTTGCAAAGTCATGAATGAGGCATGAAGATGAACAGAAGTACATTCTGATCACGTGGTGCGTGGTTGCTTTAAGTGCAGCCATGTTCTTTTAGAAAAACTACAGCGTACAATAATTATTAAAAGGAATACTTAACCCAAAAATAGTCATCATTTACTCTTAACTTTTATGACTTTATTCCTTCCGTGGTACACAACAGGAGAATTTTGTAAGAATGCACTGGCTGCTCTTTTCCATATAGTGAAAGTGAATGGGGTTTAGAGGTGCCATGCTCTGGAAAATCGCAATAGAAGTGTTATAAAATCATGTGATAGCTTGAATGATGACTACAAAACAAAAATAAATTGATGTTTGACAAAAAAAAACTGAAATTGATGAAAAATTGCCGTTGATGTTAAAGTTAAAGCTGCAACATAATTTCTGCCTATGCCTATTATAGATTTTATTAATATTTTGAATTAGATTTATTTTTATATTTTCAGTTTTTAGTATAATTTTTTGTAATTTTATGTGCTTTTGTCATTTTTATTAGTTTTTCTTTTTTAAATATTACTATTTAGATTCAATTTGTTTTATTTCAGTTTCAATTTTTATTTATTTCAAGTTAACAATTTTAGTGTTTCATCTTTTCATCTTTCATAATTTTTGTTGAAAGTTTTTCATGTTATATTTATATTCTATTTTATTTCAGCTTTATTTCAATCAACAAAAACTAATATTTTATTTATTATATTTTAGATAATGATAATAACCCTGATACAATTTTTTGGCATAATCATTGTCAGTTTATATATTTATTTTATTATATCTATTTATTTATTTTAACTTTCATTATATGGAAAAGAGCAGCCAGGATATTTTTCAAAAATTCACCTTTTTTGTTCCACAGAAGAAATAAATTCATACAAGTTTGTAACCACATGAGGGTGCGTAAATCGTCAGAATTTTCATTTCTGTGTTTTCTCCAACTGCTGCTAATTATATTTGCTGTATTATCTGATTAGCTTTTGGCTACTATGTATGTTGTGGGGGGAGAGAAACAAATGTAGATTACAAATTAGGTCATAAAATATGACATCAATAACCTTGAGAGAAACTGCGGCATTCCAGCTCGACCTCCACCCCTCCCCTCTGCTTTTTGAATTATATAGGTCAGTGGCACTGATCAATCTGGCCCTGGTTATTTATTTAATCCTCCTCTTCCCAGAGAGAGATCTTTGTTCCAAAAAATGTTCTGCTTGTGAATACTTCTGCAAGAACAGCATTCCGAAACCTTGTTGAGCAGCTTTAGTCCTCTTGCTGCAGAGGTCCATTTTGTTGCTGTGTGAAGTTCTACTTTCCCTTTTAAAATAAATAAATAAATAAATAAAAAAGCTCTACAGACTGTTTCTCACTGCACTCGCCGCTGCAGAACTAACCAATTCAGGATGCATGCAGATTTGCATAATGTTTGAATAATATTTGCAGTGCATGTACAAATATTATCTTGCAATATAAAAAAACTACTGATAGGTGCATTCTTTGGCTTGGAATGGAATGCCAACTTGCAAGTTACTGAATGGCATGCAATAAATACAGCATAC